TTTACAAGACTTTTGGTCGCAAAGTCTATGTATCTGACGTTATGCGTCTGTCTTCCTATGCTCTCAACTTCCAGCTTAGTTTCCGATTAACTAACATCAATGGAACCCATTCCAGCTAATATATATACTTGATTTTTTTTATATCGAAACAGCCGCGCAGGCAGAAGCCTAAATGCCGGAACACCGCGGCTGCTATGATGATCCCAAAGAAATTTTGTTAATACGATTTTTGAACTGCCTAAGGTTAGTAGAACTGGGAAAAGCTTCCTCCCGTAGATTGTTCCACAATCTAGACACCCTCGGGACAAAGGAGCGGTCGTATCGACCAGTTCTGGATGTACGAAGCTTGACGCGGTTAGGATGGGACGCCGAAGTCAGGCAGGTCTGTCTGGCAAGCACATCGCGCGGCGGTATCATGGAAGAGAGCTCTGAGGAGCAAAGCCCGTTGGTGTAGCGATAGAAAAGAGCTAGATCACCGACGACCCGCCGGTGCGAAAGAGTCCCGAGACTGTCTGTTAGAGAAGAGTCATCGATCAGTCGGACCGCCCTCCTCTGGACAGCATCGAGCATGGACAATGTAGTCGGGGCTTCAGCACCCCAAATGTGTGAGCAATACTCGAGGCTAGGCCTTATCTGGGCCTTGTATAGAGTGAGAAGGTCATGCGGAGAAAAGTACTTCTTAGCCCTAAACAAATAGCCTAGCTTTTTCCCAGCAGCTGCAGCTATTGATGAGATGTGTTCGTGCCAGATCAGGTCCTCGGTGATCTGGACTCCGACCAGCCGAAATGAATAGCTCTTTGGTAGAACTCGACCGTCCATCGAAACTGTATGAGCGCTAGGACGCTTTTTGTTCGTCAAAGTACAGTACTGTGTTTTGAAAGCATTGAACTGTACAAGATTGTTGCGTCCCCAAGCAGCGATAGCCGCCAGGTCTCTTGTCAGAGAAGAAGTCGTCGCTAGTCATCTTTTTTCCAGCTCAGCGGCAGAGATCGGCTTGTCACTCTGAATTCCTGCATGTAGAGTGCTGTCATCAGCGAAGCTGTGGATTGGGTTGATCGTGCAGGAAAGGAGGTCGTTGATATGTAAGAGAAACAGTGTTGGAGCCAAGACCGATCCCTGGGAAACACCCGCGTTGACGTTGTGGGATGAAGAGGAGAATCCGTCAATTACGACGGATATCTTGCGGCCAGAGATAAAGTCAGCCACCCATCTGCAAAGCTTTTCTGGGAGGCCGTAAGATGGAAGTTTGCTTAAGAGGGCAGCGTGCCACAGCTGATCGAATGCTTTCGTGATGTCAATAGCAATGACATGAGCCTCACCATGAGACTGGATGAGTTTACTCCACAGTTGCGTGACGTAAGCTAGGAGGTCCCCTGTGGATGGTTGGTGCCGGAAACCGTACTGCCTGTCGCTAATCAAGCTGTGATGTTCGAGGTAGTCCAGAAGTTCGCGATTTTTTGCACCTCTCCATCACTTTACTTATAACAGAAAGCAGAGCTATAGGCCTGTAGTTGTAAGGGTCGGTCTTAGATCCTTTTTTTGGGATGGGCTGTACATGAGCAAATTTCCAGTTTTCTGAGAAGGTGCCGGATTCATAAGATATCTGGAAGAGACGCGAAAGAACTGGAGCAAGCTCCGCTGCACATCTCTTCAGTACAATGGCAGGAATCAAGTCCGGACCAGAAGCTTTGTTGATGTCGAGCGGAAAGAGCACTCGACTTACGGTCTTGTGCCTGAATGTTACCTCCCGCATAGTGTGGGGAACCCTTTGAATTGACGGCACTTGGGCGTTGGTGGGGACGTCCATGGTGGAGTTGGCAGCAAAGATCTTGGCTAGCACTTCCGCCTTGGCCCTTGAGTCGAATACAATAGTTTCATCCTGACACGTAAGTGGTGGAAGGCTACTGTGTGAGAAGTTCTTTTCAATCTGCTTGGCCAGCGTCCAGAAAGACCGACTGCCATTGCGCTGCGACATTACCCTGTGCCTAACTTTTATATCATGCTGGTTTTTGGCATTGCGAACCGCTTCGTTATATTTGTTTCTGGACTCGACGTCGGCTTGTCTGTTCTCTACAGTGGGGTTTTGTAAGTAGGTTCTGTGGGCCTTGATCTTCTGCTGGCGAGCAGTGTCACACGATTTGTTGAACCAGCCGTTGGACCCTGGTTTAGGAACTTTCACTGTGTGAGGGATGTATTCCTCCATTCCGACGTGGATAATTTCGGTTATTGAAGAACAGACAGTCGACGCATCCGCGTCAGTGAAACAGACATCTCTCCAAGGAAAGCTAGAGAAGAAGTCTCTGAGCCCCTACCAGTCGGCATGTCCTAAATGCCAAGTTTTGCGGCCTGCGCGAGTTTCTGCTGCCACAGCGGCTTCTGACCGAAACCTAACCTCCATAACACCGTGATCTGAGTTACCCAGGGGGGACAGGACAGCAGTGCTGTAAGGGGCAGGATGCGTGGTCAGAAAGAGATCCAGCAGGCTACTGGCGTGTGACAAGACGCGGGGGAAAAAAGTAGGGCTCGTCACCAGCTGGGTCAGCCCTTGAGTAAGAGCGAACGCTTCGACTGCACGACCTGCTGCATCAGTCTTATTTGAGCCCAACCAAAGCTCATTATGGGCATTGAAATCACCGAGAAGAACTACCTCTGAAGCGGGATGATTGATGTTCAGGAAGTCGATCTGGACGGCGAGGTATTCGAGTAGGTCATCCCAGTTATGGTTCGAGGGAGAGCGATAAAGGCAGCAAATAAATTTGGGTGATGTTTTGGGGTTGAGGCGAAGCCACAGAATGTCCTTCCGGTCTAATTCCAAAGAAAGATCCCTGGAGCAGGAAAGACTGCTGCGGGCAAAAGCCACAACTCCCCCGTTCTTTCTCAGATTGGAGTGCACCTCATAGTTTGGGAAGTTGAGATGGTTAATCGGTGCAGTCTCTGAGATTTTTGTCTCCGCCAAGAAAAGCACGGCGGGACGATTGGATTGCAGGTAGTGATGAACAGCATCAATGTTGCTGTTGATCCCGCAGATGTTCGAAAAACAAATTTTATCTTCGATGTTGTTCCCTCGAGCCCACCCTCCACCCGGACTGATTCAGTAATAATATCTCACATAGCGTAGATATCAGTTATCATATATCAATGTTGCTATAGACATGCAGATCAATACACAAGCATTCAGATGCGATCTTAACACTCGATCATATCTTATTTATCACATTTGTTCGCAAGTAAACTCTCTCGGCAGCTTGGAACCCATAAAGCATGCTGGCGAAATGTGAGCTGCAGTGTCTTAGGCAACCGTAGAGCCATTCCTCCATAAATGGCGCTCAGAGCAAGTAGCGGCGGACTCGGCTAGCGACTACTAAGTAAACAAGTTGACATTATACTGATTTAATAACATATCGATGTTTCACGTAATATTCCTGTGGATCTTGGGCATGGTCATAAATGTTGCTGACTGTTGTACGAAAAACCAATTGCTAGTCTATGGATATCTCTATGACGGCTCTCCATTGGATAATAACGTTATTCATAAATGGTGAAAACAAGCGCCATTTGGTCAGAAGTCTAGCATGGCGCTACCTATCGTGACGGAATGTGGCAAGCACTAAAGGTATACAGACGGAATTTTAGTAGGCAGAAGGCCGACAATTTGGCGGTAAGGAGCATAACTCCTTTGAAATCTTTTGTCCAATGAAGGCTACAGAAGCTTCCGTTTATTTAAGGCACTGCTCTCACCAAAAGCAACCTGACGCCAATTCAACTTCAACCCGATTTAGACTAGGGTATTGCTTCTAAACAACTGGCAGCACCGTTTTAAAGTTGTGGAAAAAGTCACAAATGTATGTAAATGCTGAATATGAATAGAATATTCTCATTCTTAAAACCCGTTACCGAAAGCCGTATAACAGACATATTTCACACTAAAATCTAGCCAGATCAATCAATAGAGATATACCAAATTTTTTTATTTACCACAAGCTCTCAATGCATAACAAATATGGAGTGATATGAACGATCCGCGGAAAGTACATTTTGTACACATACCTCTTGAGTCTGATGATCACTCGAACACCATTATCTTGGTTGTCACACTTCCAGCATCAACTGTAGCTTTTCCGAAAGGTTTTTAATACTACTACTCCCACTGAACCACTTCATGAAACACAAAACCAAGGATTTTTAGTTTAGAGGATACGATCGGAACGACAGCTAAGGGCCGTATCGTCAGTCGTTCCTACAATTGTAGAACGCCTTTATGGCCTTCTTTTTATTTCTAGATTTCTACAGTTCCTTGTCAGCGTCAGCGCCCTCCTATTGTGAAGTTATGTTTCATTTTTGAACTGTAAGGAATTCAAGGCTGTTAAAGCAGATGATATGAATCAAAAGCTTGAATAATTTGATACAAATAGATAATTGTGATATAAGCTCAAAAAAGAGCGCAGACACGGAATAGTAGAAAATCAAGGAGGCCATAAAGGCGTCTTACAGTACTTGTAGGAACTACTGACGATACGGCCCTGAAAAAAGTCTGTCGACCACGCTATGGAGTAGACGCGCGTTTGTTGTGCTGCTGCAAAAATTGAATTTCTAATGAGAAATTGTGCTATTATATTTTTGATTCTTTCCAAGTGGTTTGTGCTAGTGATTGCCTACTGAGCAGTTGTTGTGCTACTGTGATTGATGCATTGCTTGATAGTATAATCTGAATTTATTTTTTTCCATTATGAGCAATACCAGGCAAGGTAACAGGCGAGGCGAGGATGAATTGCTCGTAACTGTCAAGGATTTAGTCTCGAAGGTTTGCTCATCTGAAGATTTTATTGGTTGCTACCTCAATCACGAAGGTAATAAGTGAACACGTGAAAAAGGATATTGATTCTTTAAAGCAACGAAACAAAGAAGTTGCCTCACAGCTCAAAACTCACGGAGAGGCGATTGAGAAAATAATCTCAAATCAAGATAAGCAAGAGCAGTATTGCAAGCGTAAGACTTTGCGCATGTATGGTGTTTCTGAGGACCCCAGTGAAGATTGTCTGCATAGGATCGTCCTAATCCTCAGGGATAAAATGAAAATAAATGTAGAACGACCAGCAATTGAATGCTGCTTTAGAATAGGGCAATATGAACGAGATAAGAAAAGGCCGATAGTACTTAAATTTAGTTCAATGTATTATAAACAGCTCGCCTATGATAATAAAAAGCTCTTAAAATCATCTGGAATGGTCATCCGGGAGGACTTGACTCAATATAAATTGAAGCTACTGAAGGATGCTATCACGAAAATGGGAAGAAATGCTAGAGTCTGGACGACAAACGGCACAATATTCTGCAAATATGATGGAGAAGGCAGAACTGTGAAGATAGAGAAGCCTAGTGATATTGCAAAATTGTGAGGTCCGTTTTGTTCATTCATATTGAGATGATAACGCAACCGTTTTTTTTTGCAAAAGAAAGTTTGTACTAGATTAGATTTTTTTTTTATTCTTGAAGGCTACGTTCTGCCTGATTCTGTCGCTATTATTGATTTTTTATTCATGATTTTTAAGTTTTTACAGTGATGAATAGAGGATGACAGTCCCATAATAAAAACACTATTTTGTGGCCTGAATATATTAAGTATATCCACTTTTTTGTTTATACCTAATAATTTGTTTCCCAATTATTTTGATCACTCGACATTTCTTCTCGTTTATGTGTTCTCCTTATTTCAAGTGTATCGAAGTGAAGTTTCTTATGAATCAATACGGCGTCATGACGTCATCCTCTATTTTGATTCTGAGCAAGTAGGAATAGTTTTAGTTATTCTCACTTATGTATTGCTAACAGTTTATCTTTTTCTCATTAAGATGATTATATATCCATTTTAATCTGCAGCACAACACGCGTGAAATTGAGCTCCCACTTTCACGTGGATTCCTTTTTTTTTCTCTTACTTTCTTTCGTACTAATTTTTTTTGAGACCAACAGATTACAACATTCATTTAATTCTAGTAACCTACATATATGTGTATATGTGTGTATATACTTCGAAGTTGAGTCATTTATTTTAACAGTGAATAGATCTGATCAAAAGAAATGTTTTTTTCCTTTACCATTTTTCTGGTAAAATTAAAGTAACAAAGTTATAGCCCTTTGGAAGTTTGAGTACCGCCCTGTCTCAATCATAATATCATGTGCTCGTGTTTGGCAACAACGGATATAATCCACCTTATCGGTTCATCGCATCGGAAACAAAAAAGCGAAAGAATTTGGAACGATGTTTTTACAATTTTTTATTCAGTTCAGTTATACATACAGTCAGTGTCAGTCGCGTGTGAATAGTGTCTGTTGCGTGGCTCAAACGAAATAAAAAATGGCACATGTTTATGCGGATCGGTTTCCCAATCGAGTGCACCAACCCCTCGTGCCTTTGTTAATGTAGTACAACGGGCTCGTGAATCAGGTGACTTAAGACCTCACAGGGGACCTCACGATCAAATACAGGTCCGCACTGAAATACTTGTCGGGAGGATACTTTATAAAACAAGGTAAAAATTTTTTTTATTTTTTTTTTATTTTTACACCCATATTTTGGTTTACCTTCCTTCTACAATCATTATCTGAAAATTAATGATTCAACTTCAAAGTTGATATATTATATTTTATCTACTAACTTTTATCTATCTTATTTTGAGTAGGCGCTATAACTAGTTGGCTTCTTTTCGATAACCATGCAAAATATAAACATAGGTAGCTTAAACGTTCGATCGTTGTTACCATCTATATCTAATGTTCGATCTCTAATCACTGAGCACTCTTTTGATATTTTTTTAATTTGTGAGACTTGGTTACATGCTGGAATTGATGATGATGCGGTGCATATTCATAATTTTAGTTTATACAGAATTGATCGACATACTAGGGGTGGTGGATTACTCATATATGTAAAGCATACCATTAATAGTCAATTGATGCAAATTGAAGAAAAGTTATTTAGTGAGCAATTGTGGTTTACTGTTAAGTTGAATAATAAACGTTTTGCGATTGGTGTTGTTTATAAGCCTCCATATGTCGAAATAAATAACTTTTTGAACGAATTTGAGACAGCTTTGAGTTTGATATATCTGTAGATGATGTTATAATAGCGGGAGATTTTAATATAAATTTGTTGGACTTGAATAGTGCTGTTAATAACTTTTATTCTGTTTTAGAGGTATTCGAGCTAACACAAATTATTGAAGGACCAACGCGAATATCGGGTGTTTCAGCAACGCTCTTGGATCTTATCTTATTACGGGAGGAACTAGTTTTCTTCAGATCACTTTTTGGTTTTTTGTAAAATGTCAGTTGGTAATCCACATTCAAAAGAAAAATTTATCACATATAGAAGTTTCCAGTTTTTCAATGAGGAACATTTTCTGAATGATCTCCGTGGTATATCTTTTTTCCAAATGTTCGACCAAGACAGCATTGATACGAAAATAGCCTTTTTCACTAACTGCTTAGTTGAATTATTCGACAGACATGCCCCTTTAGTTAGAAAACGCGTTACAAAAGGTAGGGCGCCATGGATGACTGATACGATCAAACAAATGCAGCAGCTCCGTGATGAAGCACTTAAAAGTTATAAACGATCAGGTACTCATGCGCACTTACAGTATTATAAAGATTTAAAGAATTATGTCACTAGCGCTATTGGAAGAGAGAAAAGAGCGTATTTCTTCCATAAGTTCTTGCATAGCAGCTCTCAGCAAATGTGGAGGATATTAAAACGAAACAAGATGCTAAAAAATAACTTTAGTAACTCATTGCCCACTAACCTAATGGATGTGAACCTTCTGAATGATTTTTTTATAAATTCCATCTCCCCAAGTGAACCTCCAGATTCCTTAATAAATTTTTACAAAAATAACTGTCTGACAAACTCCAAATTCAAATTTAAAGAAATTGATGAAATATTCATATATCAAGCATATATCTCTGGTATTAAAACAAATGCTGCAGGCTGTGATGGCTTGAGTATCTTTCTAATAAAACTTTGCTGTCCACATGTTATTCCTTATATCAGGCATATAATAAATTGTTGTTTGATTCAAATTGCTTTTCCAGAAGTATGGGGGAGTGCAGTTGTAAAAGTAATTCCCAAAAAGCTAAATCCTTCAGATTTTAATCACCTCAGAGGAATAAGCATTTTACCAGCATTGTCAAAATTATTAGAAAAAGCGGTTGAGTTGCAATTGATGGAACATCTATCAAAGTTTTCTTTGCTTTCTCCAATTCAATCTGGTTTTAGAAAGAATTTTAGCTGTACAACTGCACTTCTACATGTAACAGATTACATTATCAGAGTCACTGATCAGGGAAGGTGTACAGTTTTGATAATGTTGGATTTTAGTCGAGCTTTCGATACGATCAATTTTAATTTACTCCTAAATATATTGCATTTTATAGGCCTCGATTCGGATAGTGTCAACTTTTTCAGTAAGCATCTGAAGAGCAGAAAGCAAAAGGTTTTCTTGGAGGGAAGTTATTCTGACGTATTAGCCTTAAAATCAGGCGTGCCGCAAGACTCTATTATGTGTCCACTCCTTTTTGCAATTTATACTTCATACCTGGGCAAAGGCTTAAATACTTGCAAAATGCACTGCTATGCTGATGACACTCAGCTGTATCATACTTTTCTACCCAGTGATGTGGACACTGTGAGTGCAACCATCAACAGAGATTTATCATTATTGACAAAGAATGCCGAAGAACATTGTTTGCATCTTAACTCTAGCAAATCTAAAGTAATTGTATTTGGGCCAAAGCATGCGCGCCAAGCTGTTACTAACTCAATTAACTTTACCAACAATGCACAACAACTTGAAACTGTCAGTGAAGCAAAGAACTTGGGTGTAACATTGGATGTAAATTTAAGATTTGAAAAACATGTAAATTCGCTCATTCGTAAGGCATATTCCTCTTTAAAAATATTGTACGGCAACAGACGTAACCTTCCCGTTAAACTCAAAATAAATCTATGTGAGTCGTTGGTGCTCTCGCACTTCAATTTTTCTATGTTGTATGGCCCATGCTTAACTGCTACTTACAAACAAAAAATTCAGGTTGCGTAGAATTCTTGCCTCAGATTAATATATGGCATCAGAAGACGAGACCGAATATCCCATAAGTTGAAAGATGCGAATTGGTTGAACATGGAAACAAGAAGATTTTTGCATGCCGCAACATTATATCATAAAATAATTATGTATAAGACCCCCACTTACTTATTTGAAAAAGTTACATTTCGAACAGATGTGCATAACATCAATATAAGATCCAGGGGGTTGCTGACACCGCCGATATTCCGAACAACCCAATTTAAACGATCGTTCAGCTACCAAATTTGTTCCATTTATAACACCCTTCCGGTACAATATAAAACTCTGAGCATCTCAAGTTTCAAAACTCAATTAAAAAAAATATCTCTTATCCCAGCAGTAGTAACCATGTTTCAGGAAAATATTGATACAAGTTTATGATTAATTTTAGTAGATGTATTAATGTAAGCACTGCATATATATTTAATATTTGTAATGTGTAGAATAAGTAGGTCTCACTCACCTTTTGTACGGACTTTTTTATAGCGGGTTAAGTGGAAGAGCAGCTACAGCTGAACTTCGCCCGTATTTGGCTATTTTTTTATATAATCAGTCTATTTGGAAATAAATACGTTTATTATTATTATTATTATTATTATTATTATTATTATTATTATTAAATATCACTACGAAATCCACAGATAACATTTCAAAACTAACTGGCGACAGCAGCACCAGCAATGATTAAGCAACTGGTAGGATTGCCGTCACTTTGGTGTGAACGCGTGTATTTGATGAATACATGCTATAAGGAACTTAAAAACGTGTTGTTCATCCGATTTTTGCACTGCCTAAGGTTAGCAGATCTGGTGAAAACAAGCAGATTATTCCACAATCTCGACATCTTAGCAACAAAGGAGTAGTGATACGGGTCAGTTCTCGTATGTACGAAGTTCGACAGATTTGGGATGGGAGGTAGAAGCCTGGCGGTCAGAGAAGTGATATCGATCAGTCAACCAGCCCTGTCAAATCCGGTTGCCGTCGGACAGCCGAAAGGAATTGCATTGAGGAAAACGGTCACTGAAGTTTCTGTACATCTGAACAGAACACGTATGCTTAACAGGTATCTTTTTTCAATGGATATTCAAATGCCCAGAGTCCTGCTATCAAAGAAGGACTAACAGCTGAAATCTTTTTAACACGCTTTTATTAGCTTGGCCTGTATGTATGTAACCGGAGGCTTTGAGCATACTTTTTACCAATTTCCAGAAGTTTGATTAATTTGAAATTTCGTACACGTATCAAGGACTGATGACAATGCACTAATTTGA